TTTGTGCTTTCTTTGCTAACGCCATTCTTGTCCATGCCCAAGGAAATGGGGATAGAATCATTGGAATTGAGTCGTACCTTATGGGTCAAACCTTTACTCTTAGTTCATCCTCTATTGTTTCCCACTTACATATTGTTGATAGGGATTATGATCCTTTCAAAGAAGTTTTCCCTACTAATTTCGAGAGTTTCCATATGATATCCATACTCATCTTGATTTCTCGAATCATCTTTTGCTACTCCTCATCACTTGGTTCTTTCGTCCTTCGAGTGGTAAGGTTACCCATATGTGCACTCGTGACTATTGGTGGTTTTATAACATTAAGAACAACTTACGTCCAATCTTTGCAAAGATCATATTTTTAGAACTTGTTGATGTTGTCCATAAAGGGTCTAATTACACCAAGACACTTCCCTATACTTGAATCTTTAGCTATATATTTAGGGATAAGCTTAGAGTGTCTATCGCCCTTGACCCTCCTATTCCCCTCGTTAGTGTCATCGATATCAAATCGACCTACAAGGCCAATTAGGATTTTAATGACATGTCCAGTGAGTGGCATCCTTTTAGACCAAACAAGGATGAATTCGAGGAGGAATAGAACAAAATGGAAGAGCAACCGGTGCCCCCACCTCAAGAGGATATATCGATGAAGATTTTGTACAATCACGTGATGCAAAGACTCGAAAGCATAGATACTCGCTTGAATGAGCTTGAGAGTGATGTTTACATGACACATCATCACTTGTTTCCTCCCTCTCATTTGCCACCGCCTCCGAAAGATTAGGCATTTATTTGGCATTTTAGGACATTTGCATTTTGATTTGGACTTATGCACTTTATGACTTATTTTGGAACTTTATGTTATTTTATGTTTGATACTTGGTTTGTTGGTACTTTATGGATTGATGTTTGAATTATTGATGTTGATATTATGTTTTTGAACTTGAATATTTTATGATAAGCATAATTTGACTTTTGATTATTTTATGTTGAATAATTGAGTTCACTATTACACTAACATATTTTCTTTTTTGAAGCTTAACTTGATTTTGCTATAACAAAAAGAGGGAGAATTATTTATAAGTGTAAATTTGATAACCAAAACTCATTTTAGCCAAAAATTGTTTTTCTAATGGGGGACTTATTTTTCACAAAATATGAAAAATCATTTTTAAATCAAATTTTCACAAAAAGTTTTGTTATATCAAAAAGTGGGAGATCGTATAACTAAATTTTGATTTTCATATAACATGATTATTATAATATTTTAAATTATTAAAATTTGTAATTTCACAATATTTATATACAATTTGTCATAAACAGTTTTAAAATATTTTAAGTATGAAAAATAATCCCAAGAGTTTTTGAGTTAATCCACTTTTTATAAACATTATTTTTAAAGCTCAAAACACTTAATCTTTGCCAAAACAATTGCCAGTCTCGAGACCATTTATTCGGTCTCGATACCAAAATGCCATAATGCTTTTTGGTCTCGGTACCAAAGCCCCAATCTCGAGAAAAAAGGGTGGGTATCGATATTGATTCAAATATTATCGATATTGAAGGCTTAACGACTATAAATTTGACCGTTTGAAGGCTCGATCTTGATACTAAATGTGCATGTGAGCATTAAATGCTCAAAATTAATGAATCCAACGGCTCTATTCAATCCTCAATGGCTCCAAACAGTTAGATTGATGTTAAAAGACATAAAATGGGCCAAGATTTAAATGGAGAAACACAAAAAATTCAATTGCAAGATCATTTCAACATCAAAAGTGTTTTTTGTGCTCAATTGTCAAATTTGTTGTAAATACACTTGTGAGCTTCTTGTTTGTTCTTGCTCAAGTGTAATATGGGTGTGTGCTTAATTAGTTGCAAACTCATTTGCCTTTGTGAGGTTTTCATTTGTTTGCTAAGTTTGTAATTTCTCTTTGGGAGAGTGTGTAAACAAGGTTTTGGGGTATAAAAATTGTGTGTCTTTGTAAGGTTACGCCTTATCCTTAAAGGTTTGCAAATCTAGTGGATTTGAGAAATGCTTGGTGTGGATAACTAAGGTAGTGGATGTAAACTTGGTTTAGAAGTGGAACCACTCTAAATCATTGTTCAAAGCTTTTATTTTTCGATTGTTTCCACCAAAATTTTAAAAGGCCAATTCAACCCCTCTTGCCATTTTTCGATTGTTCATTAGAGCTAACATATTTAAATCAGGAAAAAGCTAAATTATTCATTTAAACAAAAGCATCAACATCCACAATAAACCCACACCAAATAAAGTTAGTTCATGGTTGGGAAACTATCATTCAATATCATTCGTTTCATTACAACCCAACAAATATAAATAAAAATTGAGATCAACTAAAAGAGAAAGAAAACTCCCAAGCCGCGAGCTGCTATGAAACGCCTCAAGATCGCTAGCTTCTCTAAAAGGACTAGCTTTCTATCCCCTTGGAGCTTCTCTCTTATCTCACAAAGTCTATTTTACCTTTAATGTGGGTGCCTTTAGCTTTATATAGTAGGGGCTCTTAGGGTTTTGTGCCCTAGTTAGTTGTGTGTCCTAGGAAAAGATTTCCTTCATATGCGGGGCACAATTAGCCTTGTGGGGTTTCACATGAACAAAAACTATAAATATATTCTTTTTTCCTTTTTTTTGCTCCCATGAATTCAATGTAGAATGCTACAACATTTCATCTTTTCATAATTTCAACGTAAATCACCATCAAAACACCATATTTCCTTCATAGAAACACCATTAATTCAACAAATTAAGCACAAACAAGAAAACTCCAAAACATGCATGAAATATATATCTAAATGCTACTAAATGAACTTGACAATGAACAATAACCTAAGTAAAAAGGCATGCAATATACCCTTTTTACAGGGTTATCACCCCTTGTCGGTTGAGAGGTCCTAATGCAACCTAAGTCATGTGGTGGGCTTGGTTTCCGCAACCTTCAACTTCATAACTTGGCTTTCCTTATGAAAATTTATTACACCCTTGTTAATGATCATGATAGCCATTGGATCACTCTTCTTCACCAAAAATATAATATGACTGATCATTGTCCATCCTCTATCAATCGTTCTAATTACTCCAACATGTGACATTACTGAACATGTCCTTGATATATTTTTCTTTAAACTCTTTTAGAAAGAATTCTTATGTAATCTACTCTATAGGAACCTATGTAGTGATATTCGTCTAGCACACACTAGCTTGCTCCATTAGTAAAGAAACTACTCCCTCTAATTTTCCATGATAATCATAAGGAATTCTACTCAACATACTTTTAATATCATTCAACCTGTAATCAGTAGCTATGAAATTTGAATTAGTATCACCCCGAAAATCTAGCATTTTCATTTTTCTCAATTCATTTGGAATTAATACTGGTGCTCGATGATTTATGATAGCATTCAAATACCTGAAGAAATAAACTTTGATCTTAAACAGGTATATCATGTTGATCTTGAGCAGATGACTCCACATTCTACTGAGCAAGAGACAAATTTTGATTTACCTCATTACTGTTGCTCTGTGTAAAAGTATCATGCTCAATTGTTCGATAGGACTCTTGATGACCTAACATTTCTATATAGACATTATAATTTAAAATTAGTCACGAATAACTTTACTAAATAATAGGCACCAAAGTATATATATACAATTATCAATAATTATGACATCATGGTGGCATGTATATTATCCCAACTTACTTCAAACTCGATTCATGTCCAGAAACGACTAAACTTGTAGTTTTGATACCAATAAATATAACATCATTTTTAGTATTCAAATTTTGAATACGGGTCAGAATATCACAAACTGAAGTACTAACATTCACTAATAGCCATTTATCCAAATATTACACATTACCACATATTTTAGTATATGTTTACTCACCATTAAATAATTAATCATTTTATCATATAAATCAATTTCTATTTTTTTCAACAATCAAACTAAATTTGATTTCAGGAAACAAATTAGCAATTCATAACTACAACTTATAAAATTATAACTATATAAAAGCTGCCTAAATTCAACCTTAACAAGCTTCTCCATTTTTATTATATACTATATCTTTAATTCATTTAACCATTTTCAACACTAATATAAATACCCATCATTCATTTTAATAAACATAAACTAGTTTACAAGCTATTACAAATTATGTATAAACTAGTATAAAACCAACTACTGTTAATATATACATGCCAGCTAGAGAATCAAAATATGTCAGATAAATGTCGTTACTATTACTATAAGTATATTACTCGATAGGTAAGATGCCAATTACTCTTTCGGTTTTTTCTTTTGACCTATGCATGAAAATCATCACACACTAAGTATATACTTAGTGAGACTTTAATAATAATCAATGCAATACAACATATATGCAAATAAATATCAATACTTGGTGCATCATAATCATTGTACATGTATCACCATCATGTTATATATATTAACATGAAAACAATGTATAAAATTTCTTACCAATATACTGACCATTTATTCCATAAGCTCATAAGCTTAATCATCTGTTTATCATTTACTAACCAATAAACCATAACCTAAATATAAGCATGTGAGAACCTTGAGTACACGTGCCAAAATATGCACCTGAGTGCGAATATATATATACATATAAGGTGGTGCCCACTAATATACATATAAGGTCATGTCTACCATTTTACTAAGTGTCCTATTATACATTGTAGTTCTAAAGTGTATATGTAGCATGTTGTTAGATTCTGTGACATGCCAACTATATCTCTGTCTCTTAATGACATACTTGGGCATACAATCAATAATTATTTCATTCATATCAAAGTATATCAATATAATTTAACATTGACCAGTTCATACTCGAAATAATATTCATTTTTAAGCTTGAATAAACATGCTATGTCATTGAACATAATATTCTCATCATAACTAACAAAAAACCAAATCAAAACATCTATCCTTTAACTTTTTATCTTTTGTTGACTTGGTCCTAAAATGAAACTAATGAATTTGTCATCATTTGAAGAATGAAATCAACATCACAACACTTATTTCATAATTTTCAAGTCTTGAAATATCAAATTTCATCATCCTTTCATCCACCCTTTTTATAAATTTAAAGGATTCAACATGAATAACATGAACTAATGGTACCAAATGAAAGAGAATTCAATGGAGAAAAAGTTTGAATTATCCAACTCAAAATGCTTGAAAATAAAATTTAGAACTTACTTGGGTGTTCCAAATGACTCACGGCAGAAGAAAATAAGTTTAAGAAAATTGAACTTTGTTTCTTTTCTTTTAGTCCTTTTTGGATTTTTATAATCTAAACGAATTTAAAATTCATTTTAATCCAAAATGACCATTATATCCTTAAGATCCAATGTTCCTGATCATTCTACATGTCAATTTCTTTATCCAAAGGCTAAAATTAAATCATGAAGTTAGTAGTAATTTACCACTTTACCCTAGCAATGTTCCAAAATTATAATCGTGTCATTTTTAATCCAATGATTAAAATTTATAATGAAAATCAACTTAATTTCAATGGTTCATATTAAATTTTATCATTTTAAAGCATGAAAAAGAAATTATTTTCCTTTGCTCTATCATCTAGTAAATTTTCTTAAATTTTTTATTCGATCTGATTATTTGAATTTTTCTCAAACTTTCACACTTTATATATTTTAACATAAACTTCATACTAAATATCTGAGAGTTTAACTATTCATTACGAGACAAAACATATTTTTGAGAATTAACATTTTAGTCCCTAAACATTCCCAAGTTATACTTTAACCACCAACTTCCATTTTATCCATTTTGATCACTAACCAAAATTTTTGGGGTATAACACATTATGCTTTTGGTCCTGATAGTGAATAGGTGAAGGTAGTGACAGATGCATGATTTTATGTTAGAGGTGAATTTCCAAAATTTTGAAGTGAACGAATTTATAAAATTAAGGGGGGCTAAAACACATTATAAATAGAAAATATTAAAAAAGTCTAAAATATATTATACATTGAAATTTTCAGGATCTCCAGCTGCCCCTAGTTCATCCATGGGTGGAGAGCTTTGCATGGTATGCAGGACGAACCCACGTTATGGATGGGAGGGGCAGCTGTTCCCTAACTTTGACAGTCTAATTACATGTCAGGTTATTAGATATTTGAAACTATTACAATTAAGTCCTGGCTCCTCTCAAAATTTCTTGGTATAATTGTTTTTTTTGGGATTATGCTAGTTTTAAAACTAACGAAATTAAGCCTTGATCTAAATTTATTTGATTTAATTATTTTTAAAGACGTCTAAGTTTTAAATTTTAATAGAATTAAACGTTTAATCTTTCAATTTTATGATTTAATTACTTTCTAAGATTTTATTTGTCTTGAAGTTATACAACTTGTCCCCTTATAGTTTAATCCTAGCTCCGTCCCTCATGGTATGACTATAAATTAATATGGACAGTAAATTTCTTTGTACACACAATATTACCATCTACATAAACAAGCAACTTTTCAGATATATATATATATATATTATATATATATATAAACACAATCTAATAAGATGAAAACACAATACCGCAAGAAACCCAACAAATTTCATAAACCTTAGTAGTAAAACTGTTGCACTAAATTTTTGAATGCATGAACTTGTAAAGATGCAAAGGGTATTCAATAATATGCACAAAAGTAATCCTAAAAGTTCCATCCGAAATCGTCAATGGAACTCAAATCACGATACATTGCTGAAGACATGAGTGTGGACTCAAGAAGGCCAAGGTCAAAGCTACCACCCTCGAATCCGAATGAAGCATCCATATCAAATTTATGGTCTGTTATCTCGCAAAACTTCTTCTTCTCTTGTTGCTGCTCTTGTGGTGGTTGCAGATCTTCAACTCTCGGTTCTTCAAATGTTTCAGCAATGGCTTTAGCATCCCAAAGCAAGGGTTTTCGTACAACATGTTACCAACCATGTAATTGAGTTGAAGGAGAAAAACAATTGTGGTATCCAAGGATGAACAATAAGGGTATACGGTGGATTCATTAAGATTCTGACCATAACAGCATTAGGGTTTTGGGGTTGAGCTAGGAATCTGCATTGCCATGGTGGTGTTATTGGTATCTTTAGCCTGTGAACTGATATGAAATAGTGAAGGAACTTTGTTGTGAATATTTGCATGCAGCTTTATTAGAGGCTCTTTGGCGAAAGGAGAGGAGATTGTGTGCATGGTTTTCAGAACCGGACCGGGAACCGGCCATGCTATCGGTTCACTGGTTCAATCGGTCAAACCCATATGACCGGTCGGAAGAACCGGACGACGTTATAATTATTTAAAAATTAAATAAAAATACTAAAATATTTAATAAAAATAATTTTTTATATCACAAGTTATATTCAAAGCAACTCATAACATATATAAGTTAAAAATCATAAAATCAGTGAAACAAAAATAATTCAAATTAACTACAAATAATATTTAAGGTAAAACATATTAAATAAAATATAATTATATATAAATAATTAAAAAATAAATGGGGCTAAAAAATCATAACAAATGATATTGTTTGGTTTAATTTTTTTTTTTAAAACAATCTCACATGGCTAAAAATAGATAGAGCATCCCAAAGTCCTAAAGAGTAAAATATGAGAACAAAACAATCCCTTGGCGGGTTTTTCCGATTTTTAGTCGGTCCGATTCGAACGGTTCATTGGTTCTGGCCGATTCACTAATAACGATTCAACCGGTGTAAATTTAATCGGACTAACACCGATTCCCGGTTGAACCAACCGATTGGTCCGGTTTTCAAAACGTTGTTTGTGTGCTTTTGGGTCCAATCCTTGCGAGAGCAGCCTTTTCTTAATGCATGAGTTACAAAGTTCTTTACCTCGTTGTCTGTTCTTCTAGGAAGATGCTTGGCTATCTGAGCCCTCTGTTGAAGCAAAAGACACAACATCCAATGAAATCATTGAAATGTCCAAATGTTTTTACAAGGTCAAGTTCATACAGATACATGCACACATCATTTGTTTTTTATAAGGGATGAATTAATAAAAAAATTAAAAACAAAGTATATTATTAATAAAAAAATATGAAAATAATTAAAATATATAAATTTTAAAATCTTCAAACCTGACGCACCCGCAGTTCGTCTCAATCCATCTCTGACTCCTATATGTTGTTTTCCAATCCGATTTACCACTCTACTATAATTTGATTATATTCAGTCATTTTATTTTTAAAATGTGTCTTTTCAATTCCGATTAACATTTCGGTCAAATATTTGGTTATGGTTATTTTATTAAAACATACTATGATGTGTCATATATTTTTTAACATTTTTTTGCAATTAGACAAAATTATTATTTGTTATCTGTTTATATTTTTTTCCTTTGACATGAACCATTAGTTTCTAGTAAAACAGGGCAATAATCCTGGCGTGTAAATTATATGTCCAATAGGGTAGTCCAAAAAATATTAAAATATAAAATTTAAAATCTTCAAACCTGACGCACCCGCAGTTCGTCTCAATCCATCTCTAGACTCCTATATGTTGTTTTCCAATCCGATTTACTCACTCTACTATAATTTGATTATATTCAGTCATTTTTTTTTAAAATGTGTCTTTTCAATTCCGATTAACATTTCGGTCAAATATTTGGTTATGGTTTTTTATTAAAACATACTATGATGTGTCATATATTTTTTAACATTTTTTTGCAATTAGACAAAATTATATTTGTTATCTGTTTTATATTTTTTTCCTTTGACATGAACCATTAGTTTCTAGTAAAATCAGGGCAATAATCCTGGCGTGTAAATTATTATCCAATAGGGTAGTCCAAAATTTATTTTAGGATCTACTATATTCACTATAACGAAGGATGAAATAAGTCATCATGTGGGGTGACAAATTTGAAAAAAAATATAATTTTTTTATTAAAATTAGTCAAGATAGAGTAACTTATGATAAAAAATATATTTTGTAGTCACCTTACTTAACGAGCTTCAAATTATGTAGTAATACTGTAAATTGCTAATTTATTTATGGGCGTTTTTCGAAAAATCACCGGACCGATATATTTACGGCTCGATAGTTTTGGATTCCTGTACAAAGAGATGTGTCGAGCCACTAACTGCACGCGTATGCTATCGCGGATGTCTCCTGCTGCTGTAGTCTTGGGTATGGTATCGATTGCCCTTTTATGTCCCGTTGTCAAGAACCCATTCGTATTTCCACTATTATTGAGGTAATTGTAAATCTGATTTCGTATATTAATCATTTTATACAATATAATAATTTTTTTCCTTGAATAGGTGGTCTACTGATAAGAAAATCATCAGGAGCTACCTGATGATTAGAAAAATTAGGGTGATCATCGATCAAGGTTGGCACACAGGTATGAGTTTAATGTTTAAAAATTGATTTTAGATTATAGTTATAATTAGATTATCCTTTGAAAAATTATATATACTTGTTTTAGTTTGAATGGGTGTCATATTTACTGATGATATGAGGGCGGTGATCCCACCTGAGTTGAGGGGACCATCATATGTTTGGATGGCGATGGTCCCCTTGATCTTTATGCGACCGTCGAGTGGCACTCCATGATCGGTGCTCGGATTTGGTTGTTTTCAACCAATTTCGGAAGCAACTTGCAATATGGACGAGTTGCATAGCACAGATAGATGCGGCAAGACAAACACAGATTGGCTGGTGAGGCATCATGAGTGGGTCGTGTTGTGGGAGGATCGACATCGGATCCTTCCCCATAGAGAGCCCATTTTACTTGACCTCTTGATGGTTACTGACGGTTATTATGAGTGGTTCAACAGTAACGGGAAACCGTTTCTTCTTCCCAAGGATGCACGAGGGCAGACCTTTCCACGACGTCGACAGAGACGTTCACCGACACAACATCATTGTCCCCTGACTCATGGACGGAGATCAGGTGCTTCCGGTTCATCTCAGCTGCACCAGCACGACC